CTAAAAAAATTATTACTAGAAAATAATTTAATATCATGGATTCCATTTATTGAATTAAAATTTATAAAGATAATTGGAAAAGGCGGGTTTGCAACAGTTTATTCTGCTACATGGACTCAAAATAAAAATGGATTTGTGGATGTTGAACCCGTTGCACTTAAATTGTTTCATAGAAAACATAATAGCCGCAAGAACTCGTGAAAGAGGTAAATATTTGACACTTTAATGTTTATTAAATTTAAATATAATTAATAGTTTAATTAATAATAAATATTTCTTCGAAAGCTAAACGCATATTCTAATATCGGATCTAAAAATCCAACATTTTTACAATGTCATGGGGTATCAAGGGATGAAGATACAGGAGATTATATTTTAGTTATGCAATATGCAAAAATGGGATCTTTGCGTAAAAATCTTTACGATGTTGCACAAATGGAATGGACGAAAAAATTAGAATTACTATCTTATATTGCATTTGATCTTCAGTTAATTCACTCTCATGATATTATTCATCGAGATTTACATAGTGGAAACATATTTCAGCCCGATTTACATACTGCATATATTGGAGATTTAGGATTTGCAACAGCAATAAATAAAACATTAAATACGAAATCTAAAGAAATTTATGGAGCAATACCTTATATCGCACCTGAAATTTTACGAGGAAAACCGTTTACCAAAGCATCAGACATTTATTCTTTTGGAATAATTATGTGGGAAATTTCTTCAGGAGATATTGCATTTTCTAAATATGAAGGTAGCTTAATTGCAGAAATTTGTGAAGGATTAAGACCAAATATTCTTAAAGGTACGGCGACGTATTATACAGAACTTTTAACAAAGTGTTGGGATAAAGATCCAAAAGAACGTCCGTCAGCTATAGAAATTCACGAAACTATTTTAAAGTGGAGAAATAGTCCTGAAATTTTGCCAAATTTTTGAAATCTGATAAAGAAATGATTATAGAAAATAATCATTCTATTAGTGATAATAATAATTCTATTTACAATAGTAAAATTATCAGTTGTAT